GTCAGGACTGAATGTGGGTTTCTCTTTTTATCTTTCCTCTGAGACATCAACTTGTAAGATCCAGACTCAGCATTCTGAAAACCCAGGTTCCAAAGATGATTAACCCTCAATCTGTGAGTGCTGCCATCTTTAACACATGGAGTTCGTTTAGATAAAGCTGAGTTGCTGGACTGACAATACAGAGATTCTGCCTTTGCTCTATGGGACCCTGGCCTGGGAAGCTGGAAAGGGGAGAGACATTACAGCAGACTATGCCCATGGTGGGGAGGGTTGTATTTAGAAACTTTGGGTTTTCCCAGAATGTTCTTCCCATCAGTCATACCTGCCAATGGACTCATGGCTATATTTACAAAAGTCAGTCTCTTTCTCAATTTTGCCATATTCTTAAATTGTTACCTTTGTAATTCTCTTTCATTAGAAACCCCTCAGAATACAACTTCGGTTGAAATACAGAACCTATGAAACCACAGGCTTAATGTTCTCTTTCAGCATCTTTCTTAATGGACAGTAAAATGAATTACAACTATTAACTTTGTTTTCCCTGAGTTTTTGGTAAGATCATCTTACATCCCATTTGTGGGATAAAATATCATGAAATTTACCATGTAAATGTGTTTAAGGGAACAACTGGATGCTATCAAGTACACTTGTATTTTGGGACAGCCATCACCATAGAATGTCCCCTGGGATCTTTCCTTTTGGATCCTAGAAGTCTCTATCTGTTAAGTAGCAATACCCCATCTCCTACTCATCTGGTCCTGGGCAACCAACAGTTTACCTTTTTATTTCTATGAATCTTACTATTCTAGGTACATCATCTATGGGAAATTACACTGTTTGTCTCTTTATAACTGGCTTATGTCCCTTCCCTTTCTGTCTTTGAGATTCATTCATTGCTCTATGCATCAGAATCTCCCTCCTAATTAAGGCTGGTACTAATAATACTCTATTGTACAAGTTGTATAAACACAGCACACTTTGATTACCGTTTATCTGTTGAACAGACTGACTGTTTCTCACTTTTCATCCACTGTGAATCATGCTGCTATAAACACAGGTATGCACACATCCCTTTGATAAGCAGAAATTCTAAATGAGCTACTAAAAGAATCAATGAAATAAAGAATGAATGACACCCCCAGTCATCAGTGTAACTCAGAGGTTGACAACCAAACTGGGAGATGTTGGGATAGAAGAGGGGGGGAAGAGAGGGCATTATTTCTTTGATGTTTCTACACAATGTAGGGCTATTTCAGAATCTAGTTTGTATCTTTCTATGCAATGGCTCTCGTGTTATCTCTAAAAATGTGCTTCGCTGTGGGTTCATAAATCCCTCTTCCACTAATTTGCCCTGAAGTGCTGTTCCTGTCCAAGACATAAATTATTGAAACCCTTGTGGTCAGCAAAGGGAACAGTAGTGAAACCCACCTCAGCCTTCCAAAGCAAATAGCCAGACACCTTGTCTGAGTTCCAGAAGTCTAAAACAAGTCTGATCAAGCCATCCAAGGCAGGAAGTCATTAGCAACTGCATACCCCATACTTCCTGAGAAAGGTGAGGGATTCCAGCCCTAGCCAGAGGAACCTTATGTCTTTTCCTCAGTGCAAATTCCCTGGGCTTTTTCCAGGATCGGAGCTATGGGGAAGCTGTGAGAACAGATCTTGATTCATTTTCAGAAGTTCATTCTCATACAGGAGGGAGGACCTATTCCTATTTGTGCAAGGAGAGCCAGAGCTGCTGCTTTCCACTGCATCTGGCATCTGCTCTGGGGAGGGGTCATGCTCCTCCCACCCCCCCCCTTTTTTTTTGCTACTTAGGTAAGGGGTGGGTCTCCTTTGTGTTGAAGAGCTGTCAGTGTGTGAGATACTGGTGTATGTCAAAGTCGACAGTTCTAAGAAGCTTGATGCGTTTTCTCAGAGGACGTAGAAGAGCCGATCAGCCTCACACAAACAAACAACCAAAAAAATACACCAGTCGTTTCATTTATCAAAGTCCTTATGGTTTCCAGTTTGAAGCAAGGGAAGGCAAAGCAAATATCTAGTGAGAAAAGTGAACTTGAAAGTTAAAAGGGCTGGACTAAATAAAAAAGGTGAAAGACTGGCACTTTGAAGATTTCAAAAACCAACGCAGCAGAATAGATGCATGCTCTTTGCAATTCCTGAAGCTTGCTTCATTTGTTTCTGCTTAGCTACTCTGGCACAGACTTTATAGTGACAGACTGGCCCAGGACCGCGGGCTTATTAGTTAACCTTTTTGAAGCTGGAGCTTTTTCATCCACGGAATAGAAGCTGTACTAAGAGAAATTTTCTTTTTCAGAAGATGAGCATCATAGCCCCATAAAGCACTTAGCATATTCAGACACACAGAGCTATGATTAATATTTGTTGTTATCATTATTAGTTTCCTAAGGAAAAATTATCCTCAAAGTACCTGAGCATTGCAAAAAAAAAAAAAGAATTTTAAATTGAAGCTTTACTTAATAACAAGGGAATCTGTGTGTATGTGTGTCTCAGGGCATGTGTAGAGGTCAGAAGACAATCTTGACTGTCAGTTTCACTTTCCTCCTTGGCTCCAGACAAACTGTCATTGCAAATGTTTCCCAACAAGTTTGATCAAGTCTCCTGTCTTTCCATCCCATCTTGCTGTGGGAGCCCTTGAATTATAGACCCATGTACTACTGAGTCCAGATTTTATATCGGTTTCACAGATCTGAACTCAGGTCATCAGGTTTGAGTGGCAAGTGCTTTACCCACTGAACCATCTTCCCAGCCCTGATAATGGAATGATTTTTTATAAATAGGCCTAAGAGTATCAAAATGTCCCATCACAGGCTCAGTCACAGGTATGTATATTATAATCTGAGATATGCCCAAAAGTCTTTCATCTGTTATATGATGAGAAAAGAGAAACATAAAGTTCAAATAACAGGAGTTCCTACAGGCACAAGGGGAGTTTGTGAGCTTCCGTGTATAACTGCAGAAACAAACAAAAAACAAAACAAAACAAAAGACCTCTTGGCATGACCTTCACTTGGTCTTACATAAAAAGTAGTCTGACTCATTTTAATACTACAGACATTGATTGATTGTACATAACTTCAGTGGTGCGTAATGGGCAACAGGATAGAAGGAGGGGCCTAGGAAATGAATGGCAGGGCTGGTTTGCTTGTTTGTTTGTTTTACAAGAGGACAACTGAGCTAATGTTGGTGACAGTCTATGTTTAGATATTTGTTTGGTAGGCCTTCTATCCTTTAGATCTGGCTATCACCATGACACAGTGACTTTACCAGGGCAGACAATCTAAATTTACAGCCACCACGATAGTTCCTGTGCTGATTCTATAATCTTTTATTTTGCTCTGAATTTGCCTCTTTTATATATTGGTTGAATTGCTTAGTGCCCAAATTTTCCTGTAACTATAGACAAAAGTCACAACTGCTGGGTTGGCCGTAGGATTCCAAAGCCTGGCACGTGACATTTGATGGCATGACATTTGATAAGCAGCTGAATGAAGAAATAATTGGTACCCATTTAGTTCCCTCCCCCGTTACTTACCTTCCTGTGGCAGTGACTTGGCCATATAGCACAGTTCACAGGGGCATCCTGCCTCTGTCAACTAGTGCATGAGACATATCACGTCATTGGACATTTACCAGGGTGTCCTTTAACTGTACCATCGTAGGAACATGCAAGTCTGCCAGGGTTGCTCATGGTTGAAAACCCTCTTAGGTTGGTGACAATTTAATAGCATGACTGATTTCACAAAGCCCCAATTTTGATAACAAAAGAGCCAGGGATTGTCACTGTTTAGCAATCAGAGATATGATGTGATATGGCTCGTGCGAGTGTATGGCAGGAGGCAGGGGAAGTGGGGACAAGGAGCCTGGATAAGTTCAAGCAGCAGGGGAGAGAAAGTGGCTATATTTGGATGTGTCTGTGGTAGAATGGCACGTCATTTTAACTAAATGAAAAATAAAAGGACAGGGGGGCTGTTAGCCAGTGGCAGAGGACAGAGGATAGCATAGTGACAGAGAACAGTGATTTTTCAAACTGCATGCATATAATAACCACATGGGGAATCTGGGTTTAAATGGAAATTCTGGTTCTAGGGTGGAGCCTGAAAGTCCACAATTCTAGCCTGGTCTCAGAGAAGGCCTGTACTTGCTAACTGGAATCAAATATAAGCTGTACTACTAACTAATTCCACAGTCATCAGCAAATTAATTAGCCTTTCTGTGCCTTAGTTTTCTCATCTATACAATGGATCAGATGAGAGAAGATACTGTTTAAATGCTGCTGATGGTTAGTTACTTCTGTGAGGGAAGAGGGGAAAGCGAGTTGGCAGGGCTGAAACGAGGCAGAAGGGCGTCAAAGAAGAACTGGATTTTAGAAACAGGACTCAGGCTAACCTCAAACTCGCTACCGGTCTTGGATGACCTTGAACTTCTGTACCTCCTACACAGATTGCATCACCACATCTGGTTTTATGTAGTGCTGGTCTCTTCCATACTTAGGCAATCAGCCCCTTTAAAACAATATTTTTTTTTAAAATCAGTTAGCTATTAACATGTGTGTCAAGTTTTCTCCTTTTCTCACGCAAAGACGTTACACATGCATCCAGATTGCTTTTGCACACGTTAGAGGATGCCTGCTTGCAGTCTGTAGTGGGTCCGTGGAGGAAATGGTTTTAACTGGGAGCAGAACTCTAAAATTCTCCTACCTTATGCAGGGCTTAACTTGGTTCTCAGGTGTTCAGAAGAATCAACACCTTTCCTCCAGAACCTGAGAGTAGTGGCCACAGCGAGGCGCTCGGGAGAGGCGCACACAGCAGCAGGGTGGGGAGGTGCGGGGAGGGTTGGGGTGAGCGCAGAGGACAGGCCCACGTGGACTGCGGGGTTTGACAAGGGCGCGGGCAATTGGGCAGCCTAACCAATCAGCACTGTCAGCGGCCAGCCGGGGCTCCTCCTGGTCAGCTAGCTAGCTCTGGGCTGGTTTCTGCACAGCTAGTCTGGAGCCACCCTGGACGGGGCGCACTTGCTGAGCGCGCAGGGCTGTCTGCTCCCTCCGGGAGCTGCCTGGGACAATGTTTCTCTTTTAAGACACGGTAGCTTCGGCTTCTCTTTGCAGCAGCTGCGGAACTTTCCCCACTTTAGGCTGAACTAAGAGGGTGATGGGCTGTTCCAGGGGCTCTCCTGGGCAAGCGGCCAGCTAAGCATCCTTTGGTTTCAGTGCTGCGATCGGCGCTTCATTCTGGACTCCCGGATCTGACTCGGCTGCTCTTTCTAGCCTAGTAAGAATGGGCTCTGGGGAAGAGCTGGCGGGAGAAGGGGTTGGAGCAGTCTTGAACCCTATGCGTAAGCATGGTCTCGGCGGCAGGAGTGGCCTTTGGGGCTAATTTCAGTTCAACTAGGCTCGGAGTAGCCCTGGTCACTCCGGCATTTAGCAGGGAGCAGAGGGGAAGTACTTGAATCAGCCGCGTGCATCCTAAAGTTAGAAGAGACACCGATAAGTAAGGATGCGTGCAGCGAGGGGTTATGAGTAGGGATGGCGGGCAGCAGCCACTTTCCAATTTGGGAGTTCAGAGACTCTGGAGTCACTGGTGCTGAGACAGCCACTTGATGAACTGGGGTGAGCAATCTCAGAGCGAACACTCCATGAGCTGGGGGTTCTGTCTGGCCACGCTGGCCTGGAGGTCTCATCCTTTTGCATCCGAGCAGAGATCCTTACACGTATTAGCAGAAGGAAGAAGGTGGGCTGTTTCCAGGGTCTCTGATAGACAGGCTTGGGCTGGCTGGGAGCTCAAGTGGTTAAAAGGGGAGGGTCTCAGAGTTCTGGTGAGGCATCTCGGCTTTGTCCACCAAAGCAGCTAGCACCTCGACATTTATTTCCCTCTTGCTTCAGTTGCATGGCCACTTGTCTCCCACCGCAGGGCGTCTTTAACCCAAGCTTGTCCTTGGGGAATTGGAAACAGAAAGCTTGATAGCCTTCATCAGGGAAGGCAGCCCAAGCCACAAGCCTCTCGCTAGTGCTAGTGTGTTATTCTCTTGAACGCAGAGGACTCCACATGCCCTGTTGAGAAAGCTTAGCTGAGTTATGAATCAGCCAGAAATATGCATACGTACAAGCTCACAGACTCTTGGAGTAACAGCCACGTGCTAAACCCACCGGGATTGAAGTATCCCTTTTGGTGAAGCGTACTGATCCTCGAACTCCTTTTGCTTTTAACTTTTTAATGGCCTTCCCTCCAAGAAGAGCAAAGTTAATATGACGTGACAGGCAAAATCCCTGCTTGGCGGCAGCAGCAGTGGGAGAGGGGATATTTCCGTTGAATCCTTAGTCTGATATTTTCTATAATATCCTTGATACAGGGATAGCCCATCTGCTGACTCAGGCACCCAAACCTGTGCACATCTGTGACTAAGCTTTGTGGAAACATCCTTGCTACAAGCAAGCAAGCAAGCAAGCAAGCAAACAAACAGCAATAAAAACCCAATATAATTAAGGGATGGTAGTCTGACAATGTAGTGTTGACTGCTTGGTTGTTTAGAAACAGATGTTTGATTTGATTTGAAGAATTCTACAACCAATTCTTGGATGAGGAACATTTCTGCTAACTTGAGAGTCACAAGTCAGGGTGCAAGCCCATGTTCTTTGGGTTGGAAACACAGGTCTTGTTAAGATGGTAAGAGTACTTTCCAGAGTCTCTCCAACTGATGGTGACTAATGTCCTCTCCCAGTGACCCAGAGATTTGGTGTCATTCATTGGTGCACAGAGCTCTCTAGGTGTGGATGCTTTCTGATCAATAGTTAGTTTCAATAGCTTGATCGATAGCTGTGTTTCAAGGTTCCCTCCCTAAATTCCTCTCCCATTCTGCTTTTCTAGACTTTTCTCTCTTCTCTCAGTACTAACTACCCTTTGACATGTCACAATGTGTTGGAAGACTTAAGTCATGCTTTGATGGGCTTGTTTTCCCTGTTAGCTGTAATAAAGTTCTCCAGAGCAGCAGTTTGCCGGCCATGTGAATGGTTTTATTATTTCACCCCATTGCGAAAATATGCCTATGAATATCTCTTTGCTATTGAATGTTCTCCATTGGAAGCAGCCTCTGATATTTCTAGTACTGGACTGTTCTAGGTCACTTGGATTTCAATATTCATTTTGTGATCTTTTTTGAGGTGGGTATTGTTTGGTAACCTAGTTCCTGTTAGTAAAAAAGAACAGATCTTCGCTTTGTCCTCACACCCACCTCCTTTTCTGTGTCACAGAGTCTTTGTTAATAGTTGTTTTATCTACATCCCTCGTTTACTGTTACACTTATTATAATACTTTGTTATGTAAATGATATATTGATGCATATGGTATTAAAACTGTATTCACTGGGGATTAACCAATGGGTATGATGTCATCAGCAGCCAATCCTCTGCCTGATTTGAGCTTGCATTGACCAAAATCACCCTATCTGTCATACTGAGTATACCGGGTATGGAATCCTATATTGCCTGTGGTAAGGGGATGGAGTCTTTTTTGACATTTTTCAACTCCAATTAGTCACCTGGTTGTAGAGTTTGGGGGAGTTCTATGTTGCATGGCTTAGCCTAATGATAAAATTCTCCAATTGGGTTTTATGATCTCATTAGAACTTGCCTAAGAGTACTCTCCCCTTGATTTTTCTTTTCTTTTTTGGAGTTTGCAGCCCTTCTGTGGCTCTGTTTCCTTACAAGGAGGAGAAAACATCATAGTGAATGGACTAGGTTTGCATGTACTCTGTCCACCATACTGCAGCAACGGAGTGGTAGGATGAATTGTTTGAGTACATGGGTTGGCATCATCGGATGTTGGTGGCAGGTCATCTAGGGTCACAGGATGACTTCTAGGCCTGCACTTGATCATTCGGGGTTATCTTCCCCAAAGATGACAAAGCTGTTGTACCATGGGCTTGGGGAGACACTCTTACTCACCTTCATCACTCCATAGCTATTTGGTTTGAAAATGTTATTTCCCAAAGTCATTGTCAGAGCCTTAGGTGGCTCTGACCTGGAGAACTGTCCCACAGAATCGCATTTCTAACAGGCTGCTAAATCCTCATTCTGCAGCGTGACCACTTCTCCCAAGAGACCGCTAACTTTGTCTTCCCATCTATTTGATATTTGTCCAAAAATAAAAATAACTTGCAGCTTTACAGTCGACACTTAAGTTCAGTCCACTTTCCTCTAGAAAGCCTGTCCAAGGGGTGTTTTCCCCTCCCTTTTTATTCAAATAAGGACTTAATTATGCATTCCGGTTTAAGGAAATATGCAAAGGCTCTAACTGCAAATCTGGGAAGTAGCTCAGCTCAGCTTTCAGAGGGAGGAGCTATTACATCTTGATCCCACTGTGGTATGTATACAGGGAGCCTGGATTGGGATCCTGGAGTCCTGACTCTCAGCCTGGTGTCTGCTCCAAAAAAGACGTATGTGCAGTAGTTTTTATGCTGTGGTGGGACAGTTCTCTTGGCTCTCTCAGCAGAAGATTTCTTTCACCGGCTTGCCTCAGTTGTTGGAACATTGCTTTGGTAAAAACTGGATACTGTGTGCACATTGTCAAGATCTTACTGTAGTGGGTTGTTAGTGTGAACACAAATGAGTTTAATTCGGAAGCTGTGGTATCTGATATTGGGGGTATTTGTTAATAACACGGCAACCTGACAAATTCAGAGGAGGTCCTTTTACTCAACAGGCAATGGAATCATGGACAAACTGTTTCCTTTTTTTGAAATTGATTACTGCTAGCACGTATGAAGAAAGTGTCCTGCTTAGAGAAGAATGATGATTTTAAAATGATGAAATAAAGAGAAAACATAGGATATATTTTTTAATTGTTGTTGCTAAATAAAAAAAAATGGCATAAGCTTTGTATGGCTAAGCTACAAAGCCCTTGCACACTTCTGCAGCGCTATAATGATCTGAAGGTGGACAGCTGAGAAGATAACTCATTTGGTAAATGTACCTACCGCCGAGCCTGATAACTTGAGTTTGATCTCTTTTCACATGGTGGAAGGAGAGAGCAGACTCCTGTGAGCTGTCTTCTGACCACACACACACACACACACACACACACACACACACACACACACACACGTCAAGCACACACACATGCACAAAAATTTAAATACCATAAAATTATTTTAAAAATCTCAAGGTGGAATTCTCGGTGATTATTATTACATTTAAAGCCATTGCATTGGCTTGGATTTTTCACTTTCTCATTTGTACTGTGTGTCCTTACGTCGTCTTTGAAATTTCAGTCTCATTTCTTCACTTTTATGTCCTCCTTTGCCTGAATGTTAGCATTCTGTCGAAACTCCACCCCCACAGTTACCTGGCAACAGCCAGGTAGGCCTGGCCCACTGTAAAAGGAGCTACTTGCCTCCTCCTCTCTCTCTTGATGTCCTGCTTTCTTGTACTCTTGCACTTTTGCTCTATTCATCTCCTGCTCTCTTGCCTCTTACTTCTATCTTGCCATCTTGTGTTCTTCCCCTCCCGCTCTCCACCTGGTCATGGTCAGCCTCTGTTTCTCTCTCTGCCTTTCTCTGCCTCTATTACCCTCTTAACTTCCCTCCCCATGCCCTGAATAAACTCTATTCTATACTATACCATCGTGTGGCTGGTCCCTCATGGGGAAGAGATGCCTCAGCATGGGCTCGCTGAGGCACCCCCTTCCCCAATAACTCACCACACACCCATAGAACATATCCTCTTTTTATCTTTTTACAAACACATCACTGAACACCTAAGCTTCTTTTGTATAGCATAGTTGCTTGCCTGTGACTCAATGAGCTTCAAATCACAGACTTTAACATTCATTAGTTAATTAATTAATTAATTAATTAATTATAGAAAGGGATCTCATTGTGTAGCCCTGGGTAGCCTGGAATTCATTATGTAGGATAGGCTTGCCTTAAACTCACAGTCATCTCCCTGCCTCTGCCTGGAGAATGCTGAGTTTAAAGATATGAGAATGTTGTTCATGTATACAATGTATTTTCATCATATGTATCCCTTCTCCAACCATTCCTAGGGTCTACCTCTACCATATCTCCCTCTCGACTTCATGTCTTTGATTTTAACTCCCTGAGACCAATCAGTGCTGCCTGTATGTATGACAGGCCATCTACAGAAGCATGGGCAACCTACCAGGGCCACATTCCTGAAGAAAATGGATGTTTCCTTCTCCAGCAGCCAACAGCTACCAATAGCTCCTCAGTTCCGGGTGGGGTTCCTCAGGGTTTATAACAGGGATCCCAGGACTCT